AGTTGGCCACAAACCACTTGTCCACACACCTAGGACATTCAACTTTTGCTCAACAGAGATTGGTATGTCTGGATTCTTAGTCAGGAGCAAAACAGACATTATCACAGCCCCTGTGGAGCTAATAAGCCAGCTTGATTTGTTCAACAAATTGTCGGTAAGCCACAGCTCAGAGCAACCATAAAATGTCAACATGTTCAGCCACAGAACTCTCTAGTGGTGGGGCAATTAACCAAGTCACAGACGATGCTAGAGAATAAAATGTGTCCTATATGAAGTTTAAGAAATGTATTTAGTATTTCAGTATTTAAAAGACGTCATATAGGTGACACTATTTCCTCAACTGTTACAGCAGGAGAACTGACATGAAATGATCACCAAAGCCCTGTCCATTTCTAAATTGTTAGAAACCAAACCAGGCCCCTCACTTCTACAGAGGGCTTTCCAATTTGGGACCAGCTGGGATGACCTACCATGAATCATTTCTGCTTCACTATGTAAACTACCTGTTTATGCTTGTTTGCCCATTTAGTTATTGGAATTGCATCTGTTTTCTCAAAGCATACTGTTATGCCACTATTGATCTTTCATTCTAGAAAACTAGGAGATATGAATAAACACAAAAATGAAATGATCAATGATTTTTACCATTTATGTAGTATTATATTAGATATTTAATAACAAATTGGAATTACAAAAATCTATATAAACCTGTGCCTTGGGTAAGGAGGGCAGTTACCTATGCTTTAAGTCAAGAGTTGGTAATGAAAATTTTTTTTTTATCCCAGGGCCATGTTGGGTCAGGAGGAAAATATGCTTTTAGTGTAATAAATTTTATCAGATTTTCAATATGGCCCATAAAACAAAAAATGTAAAGGTATATGGGTTAGAATTTAAGCAAAGGGTTTGGATGTTCTCCCCCTGAACAGGTTTCATATGTGTTGGACCTTCAATCCACCACAGTTGGAGATATTCTATTCTTAGACAAGAACCTGAAAATAACCCTAGTAAAAGGCTAGCATTCTTACTATTAAAATTATTTTGACAGATATCCACTGGAGTCAGAGGAGACTCTGACTGGCCCTTCTACAATAAAACAGCCAAAATGTAAATAAATAAAATTTTATTGCATTGTTTGGCTCCCAATGAGTGAGCAAAATTCCAAGGACTAAAAAAAAACAATAGAACTTAAACTGAAACCTCAAACAATGAGTGAAAATGAAAGGCTTGGTTGCTCTCAGAACAATAGCAAACATAAGCATTTCCAGAAACAAGAGGTTGGAGAGAGGTAAGTTTAAGTTATCTGAACGAGAAATGTGCCTGAAAAAGGAAAATAATCTAAGGACAGTCTGATTTGCAAGAAGGAATAGTGAGGAAGTGGAAAGGTAAATATGTAAGTAAATTCATATAAAAATTGTGCATATAACATAGTAATAGCAAATGTTGCTCGAAGGTAAATAGAAAAGACATAACTTGTTCCAAGAGAGCTGGGATTTGGGATATAGACTAGTGAAGAAGAAGCCCAAGAATACATGTAAGGAAATTTTCTTTTTCCTTGGCCAATTCCTAATGCCTATGCACAGGGTGGGACTCCAGAAGGTGAGCAGAGAACAGGGTCTGGAAGGCTGAAGAGCTGAGCGGAGATTTCAGCAGACACTCGGCTGGAAGACACTGGCAGTCAGACCCAGTTAGAGTGAGAGACACTGGAGATGGTGCTTTGATTCCCACTGACACCCCGAAAGGCTATACCCTAGTAACAATGACCACATGCTGGGGGGTCCCTAAGAGGGAGGGCACAACTGAAACAGATCCCAGCAAATCCCACATTCAAACCAGCTAGAATCAACCTCACACTCTTTAAAAGAACACGACAGAACCCAGAGCCTGTGCTCTACACCATCCACAGTGCCCCACATAGACCCTTTTCTAACCTTTCATGGAAAATACTTTAGTAGTCTCCTAGTTGTAATCCCACCCAAAATCTATCACCCTCTGATCTAGACTGCTACCGGTGATATTGTAAAAAAAAATGGGAATTTGATGATGTTATCTCACTTAAGGTAGGACTGATGGCTAGCTACTGCCTAGAGATTTGCAAGCAAAGTCCCTTCCATGTGTCATAATATCCTCCCTCATCTGGCTACTGCCTGTTCTCCAGGAGGCTTCAAAGATGATCCTCAGTCAGAGTTGGGAAGAATCATCCTGGTCATCCTTCTTGAAGGCAGAGAGTCTACAATGCACATGTTCCCTCGACTGATGCTTCTCCCGCATCCCCTCTTTCTAGTTTACCTGTCCCCGTGGACTTTCGTGCTTCTATAAATAGTTTTCTATAAACAGTGAACTCATTGATAATCTGGATCTCTGTTTGGTCTTAAAATTTTTTTCTTCACCTCATCTTCCTTTATGCTTTTGCTCAACGAATATTTTCAGTGAATAGTGTGTTTTCGATCATAATGATAGGTACACTATGTACCAATATGTGCAGCAGAGAAAGGCAAGGAATGGCTTCTTCCATCAGTTAAGATCTTCAGTGCATGGGACAGGGCCCTTGCTTGTTTGTGGAGCCCCGAGTACTTTAGTGAATTTACCGTGAACCCCTGCTCCAGCTGATGAGTAGAATTCTGTAAGGCTTCCATATGCATAAAACTTAGAACTGCCCCACTGGGTGTACTGACAGGCTGTGCTATAGACTGAAACTCCAGTCAGGGGTGAACAGAGCCTTGGGGCCAGGTGAACACGTTGTCCCCACAGCTTCCAGGCTGGGCCAGGGGGTTTGTGCACAGGGAGGCAGTGACTTTGCAGGGCTGTGTCTTGGCTGCTGGCACAGAAATACACAGCAGAGTCACCGGGCTCCAGGGAGTCGACATGAAGGTTTAAATGAGCTTTGTCAGGAGATTCAGGGGAGAAACGACTGGGAACTGTTTCGTTTACAATGAGTTCCTTGTAATTGTAGGTAAACATGATCTTCAGCGATTGCTTGGAGTCCTGCTTATACCAGTACATAGCATCATGGCCTAGGTTTTGTTCACATTTTAGGGACATCTTGTTTCCCACCCACGTGACGAGGTATTTTGGAGTCTGGGAAACTGCTGTGTCCAAGGGTCCTGAGAAGGAAAGAAGCAGAATTCAGACAAGTCCCAGGAGGTACCCTGTTGCTGGAGGTGTGATGAACAGGCTTAGAGACCCAAAGTGGGATTGTGCACCAGGGCCCAGGACTCACCTGCTCCCAGGAGGCAGAGGGCCACACAGCAGAGGAGCCTGGAGCCCATGTGGAGTCAGCGCCAGCCAGGCCAAGCCCTAGCCCAGGATCGTGGTCTTGGGTGGAAAGAAGACCAAGCTGCAGTGCTCCAGGGCCCTGACAGTTGCTTGGACTGTGATGTCACAGCCTAGAAGGATTTCCCCATTGGCAGGCTCTCCTCTAATCTGCTGCTTTCTCCTCCTTTTTCATGGGTTGAACTTGTTCCTTTCAAAGACCTGTTTGGAATTTCTTGGTATGAGTTCAGTGATGTAGAAATATTGCCTCAAAGATGTTTCTCTGAGGGTCATTCTTGTGCCAGCAGCTGCCTCCTTCTGCTTTCCCTCCCACAGGTTCTGGCCACCTCCCCCCATCCTCCCTTTGGGCTCCTCTCTCAGAGTCACTTCTCTGCATCTTCTGCTTCTCCTTCAGGATAATGCAGGGCAATCCCACATATATCCTGGCTCCCTTGAATGTGGTTTGTGCTCAGTGGGCCCCTGACCATTTCAGTTGTAGGCAAAGGATTGCTGTGAGGTCTCCTCTGAGAACCAGCTGCAGACCATTTAAATTGCATGAACTGATGTTAGCTAGGAGCATGATGAGCCTCTGAGGGGATAAACTGCAGCCCTGCTCCCTGTGATGTTCTCCTGTGGGGATAGGAGGCTCCTAGGGAATAAGAAGTCACATGTGACAGCAAAGAGGTTGTAGGGGTGAATCATAGCAAGGCCGTTGGGGAAAGTCTAAGTGGATGATTTTACTGCCCTTGAATTGTCTAGAGGTCACCTTCCCTTTTGATACAAAATTTACAGCTCAATGCCTAGCCCAGGGTTTCTCAGCCTTCGCCCTATTGACATACAAGGCTGTATTATTGTCTACCTTTGGGGGGCTGTAGGATGTTTAGCAGCATCCCTGCTCTCTATGCACTACATGCCAATAACATTCTCCATCCCTAGTTGTGACAACCAAAAGTGTCTACAGACATTGGTGAATTGTCCCACTGAGAAACAAGGTTCCCTTTATTCCTTCAGGGAGTCCTTCCCCCTCCTGCACCAGCCTCAGGGTTTTGGTAGGGCCACAGCTCCTCCTGGTGGACAGAACAGGGCACTTCTCAGATCTCAGTGCTCTTGTGTGCTGTGCCTCAGCCCATAGTAAATCCAGGTCAGCAAGGACCATGACTAACACTAGAGAGCCACATGTGTGTGCACTCCTGCACATGCATGCACACAGACACACACACACACACACACACACACAATGTGTGGCAACATCAACTGTCCACTACTGGTGAAACCCCTTCATAGAAAGCCCCAGGTGATTCGTTTTACTGAACACAGAACAAGCAATGGGGATGCAGTAGTGACAAAACAGAGACAACTACCTTCCTTCCTAGAACTTCTAGCATGCTTTATTGTTTGCAGTCATTGAGTGCAAAGCATGAGTAAGACAATATTCTCGCTCTCATGATGCTTATATTCTGATAGGAGCAAAAAAAAATTCACAGATTACCCTAGACCAGAAATATAAAATACATGATATATAAAGCTTAGGAATATAGTCAGTATTAACACAGTTAAACGCTGCCCTTTATAGGGCTTCCCATTTCCTCATCTATAAAACAGTGTGCTGAAATAAATAATTGCCAAGTCTCTGCCCGTTTTAAAATTGTGTGATCCTAACCAGGGGCACTCTTAGACGTTTACAGAGCTAGTGGGTTTTATGTATCCAGTGTCCCGAGTACCTACCTCATTGTACCACACAGCTTACATGTCAAGCTTTTCAAAGAAGGAAGGGAAGAAGGGAAGAAGGAAGGAAGTTGGGAAGGAGGAAGGAAGGATGAAGAGAAGAAGGAAGAAGGGAAGAAAAGAAGGAAAGAAGGAAATAGTAAAAAACAAAACAGACATGAAGCTACATATAATAGTGATTATATTTGAGCCTATAAAGAATAACCACTTTTAAGAAGTATATTTCACATGAATTATTTACTTTATTGGTTATGCAAATGTTCTTGAAAAATCAGGGGCACACCATCCAGAGAGACTGGGATGAAACTGGTATGAAGACACTTGCCTCGCATGAGGTAATGTTGGTTCTGGCTGTTTTATATTTCTCACAGGAGAATTAGAAAACATGATTTTTTCATTGTCTATCAAGAATTTTTCAAAGGATAGAAGGGAACAAAGAAATGGATTCTTCACACCTTCTTTTCTGAGAGGTGGGGCTGAATTGGAGAAGGGGGAGCCTCTATAGAAGAACAGAGGCTGAGGCTGGGATGCCTGGGAAGCGCCCGAGGTCAGTTGCAGCAGGAAAGTAAAGGAGGGAAGAAAAATGCAGTAATTTTAGCATAAATATGACTTCACCCACAGAAACTTGGAGAGTCACAGGACCAGTGGGAGAAGCCTGGAGAAGAACTAGAGCAAAGGGGAAACAGGCTGCATGATATGAGAATGTGTATTTTGGACATTGGTCATATTTTTGGCTGTCCAAGATTTAAACTCCTTCTTTTATTAGGACAATTACCCAAAGTTTGGGTATTAGTGGGAAAAGGCAGGTGTGTTGATATGTTCTAAAATGAAATCTTCCTCAAAGAAAACCTCCATCACTGCCTCTACTTCGTGTGACTTCAGCAAGAACAGAAATCCGCCTAGCAGAGCTGCCTCCCTCCACCGGCTCCCTAGGAATTCAGCGCAGGAGAACCCAGGGTGTGTGCCCTGGCAGAATGGGATGGAAGGAAAGTCTCTTGTGCCCAATTCTGTCAATTTAGTTACCTGAGCACAGACTTCCATGAAGATCTCAGTTTCATCAGATTCTGTCTCTCTTCGCTGGTACTAGTGCATAAAATTGGTTTCTCAGGTCTGCGAGGCGACAAGGGCCATGATCTTCCTTCCATTCCGCTCAGCAGGCTGCTAGTTACTGGTGGCTTTGACTTTGGAAAAAAATCCCCTTTATTTCTGAAAAACATACAAAAGTCAACATTCACATCAACTCTTGCAATCATACGCCTGCAGGTGATCCAACAGCCATGGATTTTGCATATGGAAATCTAGATCAAAACCAGGTGGGACATTCTGCTACAGGTCATTTGTCCTCCAGCTTTACAAATGATCAGTTCATGCTCTTTGACCGTTTAGCTATTGAAGTCTCATCTGTTCACTTAAAATATTTACATTTATTATTCATTTTATTATATGGATCCTAAATGTTTAATCTTTAAGTCATCTGAAAGTAACATAAAAAACACTAACAAAAAATTTAATGCAATACCGTGATGCACAGGCATTATTTAAGTTCGAAAATGATTCTATGTCGCCTTATTTATGTTCTTAGGAAGAAGCTGTGGATGTTTTGTGGGGGTGGGAGTGGGGGCAGTCTAGGGGATCCTGAATTCCCAAGCGCTTAGTTAAAGTTAGTCATGTAGAATATTCAATATTAAGCTTATACGTCTGTATTCCCGCATTTTCTGTTTGTAACTTCAACATATTTTGAAAGTGGTTCATAACACAGAAAGTTAAGAAATTTAGATTCGAGCATAAAGATGACTATTTTTAGTAGGTTCCTCTGATCCAGTCTAAGATGAACTACAAAATTAACCTTCACTGAGTGGCTAATAATTTTCCTGGTAAACTCCTTGTCAAGCTAGACTTTCACTTCAAATCATATTGTAAAATATATTGATATTCTGAAGCTTCCTCCTGCTGCAGACAACCAGAACTTAAAAAAAATGTAATTTTGCGGCATTCTTGGATTTCCAAGAAGCATGGAAAATTCCAAACTTTTTTTTTTTTATTTTCTAAGTGTGAAACAGGAGCCTCTGGTGAAAACAAAATGAAAAGTCATGTTTCAGATCCGCATTCTGATGTCCGTCTTTTCTCTCTCTAGATGTTTTGATATCAAGTGTTTTTGTGACTGGACAATTCTAGCTTCCATGCGTCATTGGAGACAGAGATAAAATTTGGAGATAGAGTCCAGACAGAAGTCTGTTGCTGATATTTTCCTAGAACTCTTTCATCAAACCCAGAAGAGTGTTTCCCTATCATTGCTCAGAACTCTCCTGCTCCAAGAACTCAGAGGACACCAGCAGAGGGACAAGAATAAAACCCATTCTAGCTTAACTCCCTGATACTCTGGAGTGAGAGAATGGGGCTCTAGGTCTCCTTTGGCCTGGTAGGTAGATGTCCCTAGGTTATTACTATCTCTGCAAGATCCCCAAGGAAGCCCTTGCCAGTTAGGCTCATTACCTGAGCCCCACGAGGTCACATCACAGCAGTGCTCTGCTCCACTGCACTGGGTGAGCTGAGGCAGAGGCCCAGTCCCAGAGCCTCCCCCTGTTCCTCTCAGGAAGGGGTCCTACACCTGCACCTGCCTGTGGGCTCCTACCTTCCACACCTCAAACCTCTCTCCTTTCTAATCCCATGCAGGCTCACCTGCAACAAGTCTGGCGGTCCAGTCTCTTTCCTGGGACAGCATCACCTTCAGATCAACACAGAGCAAATAATCTATGTTAACCCCTCACATTTCAGCACTGACTCACAGCCTAAGCAAACCACATTCTCCTGTGTGGTAAACAAACTCAGACTTTCTCTTAACCCTCTCCCATCCTGGGAGTTTTCTCAACCCTCCCTCAGAGCTCCCTGAATCCCATAGAGTCACAGTTCCTCCTTGTGGCCAAAGGGTCAGTGGTGCCAGGACTCAGTTCTCTTGCCTTGGACCAAGGACAGCAGGATGGTAGAGGTCTCTGAGATAGGGACAGACAGTGAGAAGGTTCTAAGGAGCCCCTGGCCCTCCCATCTGAGACTGATTCCTCAATAGACACACAGCTGAGGACCTGGGCCCATAACATGGGCAGGGCAGAAATGGGGACCTCCAAGCTCAGGCTTCAGGTCATCAGGAAGAAAGGGGCCCACCTGAGGATGTTGGAATATTGATATCATTGTTTCTGAAAGAACCCTCAGCCTTAGAAGCAACTTTCACAGAAGAAGAGCCTTAGTTTGAGAGCAAACCCAAGACTGACCAGGACTCTTTCTCCCACTCAGCCTGTTTTGTCGGGCAAGGCGTGCGGTCTAAGGCTCATG